AACAGATTTGGGGATGGTATTTCAGACTGAGTCAAAGCATTTGCATGGGAAAAGGTATGTCCTCTATAGAAATATGGACTTCATCCACATGGCTGGGTAGCTGGGTGGTGCCCAGACTGCAGGAATAAACAATGAATACTTTATTCATCTGTACAAGGCCAGTTAGGTGCTAAGTATACAATTCCAGTAAGATACAGTGCTTACCTGAAAGAATTTCAAGGAAAGAGAAAAACTTGGAGAATCAAAGAGGCCATTGGACTTGGCAGTTCAAAGCAGTTTTGTGTGTTTTTAAAGAGAAATTTCAGTTATTTAAAGAAGTAGATATGAAGCAGCTATATCACCTGGGGTATATACCCTGTGGTTTGTCATCTCGCATCAGGAAAATTTAGGACATTGACACACACGAGGAGTTTAGAAGCAGAGGTTTGATAAACAGAAGAGAAGCGAAAGAGAAACAGTTTTCTCTATATATAGAGAGAGGGGTCCCTGAGCGGCAAAGACTGGCTGGTAGTGAATATGCCGAATTTTATAGTCAGGTTTGAGGAGGTGGTACCTGATTTACATAGAGTTTATCACCTGTAAGGATGCTGGTCTGCATGCTAGTAAAATATCTCTACCTAATAAAGGAGTGGGACTTTTTGGCATTATTAAAAAGGCATGTGTAAATAATAGGTTTCCCCATCTGCAACCTAAGGGGTTGTGAAAAATATTGAGTTAGAGTTTTTCCTGAGATGTGCCTCATGGTCATGCTACAGAAAGAGGGGAGGCCTGGATTAGAGAGGAGAAGAGAGAGAGACAGGCTCTACTGTTCAGAAAGATATCTACCTTCCTCCAATTTCCAGAATCACCCAGAGCTCCTGTGCTGTATGTCGGTTTGAGCTACTGGAGCTCCAGGACCCATCAATCCTGTTGGACCATCTGTGAGGCTGGTTTGGAACCCGGTGACCTTCATCTCTGGGGGCAGTCCAATTTCTAGTGCCACAGGCTAGACAAGGTTGAGGTGGTTTTTCTCTTGCTGCCTGGGCACTCTTAAAGTGCCCTGACTTGCTGCACCGATAGAAACAAGGAAATGTACCTCAGGGATTCTGGGCTTTGTATCTGTGCAGAGCAGCTATTAGTGCCTCTGTCCTTCTCTTTTGCTCCTTTCTCCTGGACCTCCTCCTCCTGGTCCCTATTATAAAACACCAAAGTGGTCACCCTTAGGAGGTTCTCCAAAGATGCTATCTAGTGCTATAGTCTTCTTCTGTATTTTCCTTCTAATATTGGGAGCTGCCTTTTTAATCAACTTGTCCCTTAGTATGTGCTGTCCTCAATTGATTCAGGGAATAAAGAGGTATGTTTTATGAGTGCCTCTCAGTCTTTCCACAAAGGCTGCAGGATTCTCATCTGGTTTTTGGTCTATCTTGGAAAGTACAGAGTAATTAATAGATTTTGCCCTCACTCTTCATAGGCCCTCCAATGTGTACATTAAATGGTGTTTCCTTTTCCATTCATCTGTGGTATCACTGGTGTTCCAATTAGGGGTATTTTTAGAGGAACTGCTTCCTTTCCTATCGGGAATGGTGTTTCCATTATTTCTTTGCCTTCCTTGTCTTCTTTTTTCCTTTTTAATCTACCACAGGAGACATGTAGTTCATCTCCAAAATTGTCTGCTGCCTGCAGAGCTGCCTGCTTTTCAGCTGCGGTTAGGACTTGGCTTCAGAGCAGCATAACATCTCTCCATGTGTGGTGAAACACCTGAGTTAAATTTTGGAAGGGTTCTATATACCTACCAGGATCATCAGAGAATTGGCCTAAGTCTTCCTTATTTGCCTGAGATTCTGCAATGAGAAGGGAACTTGAGGTGACCCCAAATAAGGGGGATTCTCAGACGGCTCCTTTGGAAGTTGCTTTTCTAGTCTTAGGGAATCATTCCCTTTGGGCCTGCCTGATACGATTGCTAAAAGGGCTAGGTTGATTTTGTGACACCTGCAAAGGCCTAGTAAGAAGGCCATGCCCTTGTGCAAAAGAAAATGAGCCACTTTTTCCTTCAAAGTCTCAGGGTCAAAGGAGTCCCAGTGCTTCAGAATGCACTCCAGAGGAGTTCAGGCCTTGGACGATAAAAAGGAAAAAAAGGCATTCCTTTAGACTCCTTCCTTTTGATGTGACCCAGCATGGGGAGAAAGACAGTGAGGGTGTCCCCTCTGCTGTTTTCTCTCCATGGTTCCTGGCATCCTGGCACCTTGTTAAATGTGCTGCGCATGGTTGCAGGTGTGACTTCCCCAGCCATGGAACCAGAGGAACTAAGTGGTGGGTTTTAGTCATCCTCACCCATGCAAGTCTAGTCCTCTGCCTGTGATTTCCCTTTGACTTGCTAGACTTGCCTGGCCTGTGGGCTCCCTGAAAAATGGATCTTGCCAGAGACTATGTAATAGTTGCATTTGGGCAATTGTTGCGCTTGCCTCCTTAATGGAGGAAGTGTGCTGGTTTGAGTTCTATATCCTGCTATTATGGCCCATGCTAAAGTGTTTACCCTTAGAGAATGGTTCCAGTTAACTTCTGGACTTAAAATCCCCTTACTAATTAAGTACCATTCTAATTGGAGGCAGAATAAGTGTCTTAAAAGAACATAGGGACCAAATGGCTATTTTCCTGAAGATTGGACAGTACTGAGACTAAAATTTGGTTCTGGAGGACATTGTACTCCTAATTGCTGAAGGCAGAGTTTTCCCATTCACAGAAACAGCATATAGCCTGGTTTCTAGTAGAGAGGCATAAAAAGCGGAGAGAATTGGGAAGCTAGAGTGTTTCAGTAAACGACAACGTGCCTCATGGAGAGGATTCCTATTCCACTAGGTGGTGCTGTTGACTTTGAGATGTCATGAGCTCTCCAGACCAAGGGCAGAGTGACCTTGACATGCCATGTGCTCTCCAGACCAAGGACAGAGAGAGACATTGAAATGCCATGTGCTCTCTAGAACAAGGGCAGGGAGAGATGCTCACTGGGGGTACCCTCGGTTCCTAGAACATCACAAAAACACCTTCCCTTGAGCTATATCCCCAGTTACTATGACATTCTCTGATCTTGCCAAACAGGATTCCTTCCCTGAACCCTAAAACTTCCCACACATTGCATACACAGAGAGGATAAGATTTATGACAGTGCCAACAGGAAAGAAGGAAATTACGATAGGAAAGTTGGAGATCTTGTGGCCGACAGCCCATCAGGGGGATCAGAGGCTGGGGTCAGTCCAATAGCCTTTGGATAACACCAGGGGTAGCCCCATCCAGAAATCCTCAGTTGCCCCAGGACTTCTTCCAGCCCCACATGACAGCTAAGTCCTCCATGAAAGGAAGCTAGTTCAAACATGGCCAATATGCCAAGCAACCCATGGGTACTTGGGAATTGTCCATGTTCTCCCTAGTAAGCCTGTCCCCCAAGTCTTATATGGCTGCCAGCCATGCTTGTTTATGGCTGAAGGGGGTCCAGTATTTGGTTTAATTTGGTTCTTAAATGGAGGCCAATAGCCTCAGAATGAAAGGACAGAGTTGGAGTCTGCTCCTCTACTCACTGATTCGATTGTTGTACCCTGATATCCTGGATGAGGTCCCCAATATGAAATGGCTACATTGTCTGGGGTATATACCCTGGGATTCATCATCTCACACCAGGAAAACTTAGGATGTGGACACACACAAGGAGTTTAGGAGTGGAGGTTTAATAGGCAGAAGAGAAATGAATGAGAAACAGCTCTCTATCTGTAGAGGGAGAGGGGTCCCCGAGTAGAAAAGACTGACTGGCATTGAACACACTGGATTTTATAGTCAGGTTTGAGGAGGTGGTGTCTGATTTACATAGGGCTCACAGATTGGTTTGATCAGGTATTAAGTTTACATACTGCGTGGGGAAGGCTGGTCACCGCACTCTAATCTTGTTATGCAAATAGGCTTTCCAGTTGATCCGTGTCATCTTTCTGCTTCTTACTGTACATGTGGCCGATAAAGAAAAGGGAAGACGAAGCCGCCATCTTGAACGTATGTAGTCCGTAGTTCCTGCCCACATTCACCCCTGCAAGCTCCCAGCTTGCTTGTCTATGTCTGCAGCTTGACTTTACGGGTTTCTCTTTCTTAGAAAATGATTTGGGGCTGCTTTTCATTAAAAAGCAAAGCCACACCAAGGACTCCCATACCCTTACTTTCTGCCTAAGTGATTTCTTCTTAACTCCTATATTGGATATATTGTGAGTTGTTAAAAAGTGATTATGGAGTGAAGTACAAAAAAGAATAGCCATATATCAGTTCTTCCATGCAGTTCAGTGGCAGAAAAGGATGTGATGGCTTGGGGATTAAGAAGACAGCAGTATGACAGAAAGATTTTTAAGATCAGAGACTACAAAGGGTCTTTCTAGCAGGGAAACTGAAACTACAAGATGATGTAAGAGAATGGGGGAGGGAGTACTTTGGAGTCACTGATGGTGCAGTTTCAGAAAAAGTTGAGGAACTTAAAGTGAGAGCATGAGAGATGATATTAGATTTCTAATATTTTTAGATATTTGGGGAAACATTTTCCAATACAAATGCATGGTTTGTTAACATTTATTTGCAGAATGAAGCATGAAACTAACACAACAGTAAGTTATTAGAAGTTCATAGGGTTCAAAAGTAAAAGTGGCAAAATCTTTTTCCAACAGAGTCTATGTAATCTTTCAAAATCATATTAACTGAAAGGACAGAAAGAAGAAAAAGATGGGGAGGCAAATTTGCTTCAGTATCCTTTGCTGAGAGAAATGGGCACACTTCCTATGGCACCAAATCAATTTTTATGTTGGCAGAAAAACTGATTATTACAACTACTGTGAGCCATTGTTATAATAATTGGGTGGATCATTTGTCCAGTGTGTTTCTCCTAGTAAGAGAAAAACATTTGTGGTTTCTGTGGTGAATACGAACTCTAACACCAGTAAAAAAATATAAGCCCTATTTTCATTGTTGTTTTGCATATATTTGTTTTTTTGTTTCAGCACCAAATGTGGCTCCTTCAGATGTAGGAGGTGGAGGTGGAAGAAACAGAGAGCTGACCATAACATGGGCGGTAAGTATTGATGAGTTGCACATATTAAAGGTTGCTCTATCTATATGTAACTTCCACCCCATTTTGTTTCCTGAAATAAATTGAGATGAAAGTGAATGTCTACTGCACAAGCAAGAATATATTACTATTTTTTTTCATAAATGCCTATCAGGTTTTATCTGGCTTACTGTGGCTTAGTGTGTAGTTCCTATGCAAGAATGAATCCTGGATGCTAAGAGATCTGTTAGCCTAGGTGATTAAACATTCAGCTGTCTGATTCCGGAGATACTTTGATCACTGTAGTCTGGTAATCTAATTGTAATTTTAAACATTGTCTCTGGACATTCTAAATTCCAAAGATTCCATTTACAAACTTTGTATCAAACAAAGTTTTGAAACTGGAGTCTGCCTCCTCACTTGAGGCTTACTTTGATCACTGGTGTAATCTAGCATGATAGGTCAGTCTTAGAAGTCACCCATGGGACTAGTTACTGAGGTATCCAAAGGATTTTATTACAGTTTCATGAGTCAAAGGAGAGTTCTATATCAGAGACTATAACCTCTAGAAAACAATACATCTTAGCTGGATTTTTGGAATAGGAAAGATATTGGGAGGGGTTGAAAAAGCTGTGATAGGACAAAATTGTCTGACTTAGACACCTGGCATTTATCCAGATAACATGGTTTATACAGATTCATTTATTCATTAAATATGCTTAGTGTTGAATCACTGCGGATAGTCAAAGAGCACAATTTAGGCTCCAAAGGATTTTGAAGACTGTGGAAAAAATGACAGGTTTTATTTTTTGCATGAGTCAAATGGATTTATTTAATAAGTGAATGTCTAGCAAAACTTGACTCACTGCTTTGTAGTCATTTTTATACTTAGCATTTAAATCACATTTTAAAGCAAGATTTAGTAAAAAAAAAAAATCCCGTTTGCTAATCTGAATCTTAAAATATTTATTTCTAAGTTTTACTGCCAATGAAATGTCCAAAAAATGCAAATATTATAAAAATTAGGACATTTTGCTTTTTCTCTTATGGCTTGATTTTTATAAATTCTGTGGATATCTGCTACAGAATAAGATGGGCCTTATAAAAAAATTCAGTATTGGAAATTCTCCTCCAAAGATTCAAATTCAAGTTTCTGGAGATAGAGCCCGAGAGTTGTTATTTTTGAAAGTTTCATAGCTGATTCTGTTATTCTCTAAATTCCAAAAACTAAATAGAGAACTATCAATAAGAAAAATGTTTAAACTGTTATAGAAATGTTAGGCTATACTATCTAATAATCTAAAATCACATACCTATTAATGTATTGCTCAACCACATACAGCTTCTACCACTTGACTTTACATATTTCTATATCTTCCTATTTACTATAAGTATGTCCAAACAGTAGTGTTATATTTACTTCAAGGTTTTGCCTCAATACATCTTAAATTTGATTTTCTGGTTAAAAAAAAAAAAGAAAAAAAAAGTAAATATACAATGTGCACATTTACCTTAATTGCTAATAAAGACTAACTGATGAGTACTCACTAGAATTAACTGTAAGTCAATATTTATTAATAATAAGTGATTAGGGCTGACAGACTTCTGTATAAGGCAGGTGACGTGGGTGATAATAAGAAACCCTGAGAAAATAATGAAAAACCAAGCACTTGCTTTAGAATTGGAGATAGAAACCCAAAGCCATCCTCCTACAAACGAGTGCAATATTGTTCCCTCCTCGCAACCTGCTTGTATTCCTCTTACCAGTTTCATTTTGATCACAAGGTAGATATTCTAGGCTAGAGTCTTATATAACTCTCTTACCACTGCCTTTCAATTCTAATGAAATTCATTTGCTCATCCCTTAAATACATATTACTTGAAGCCCTGTTCTAGGTGCTAGGGATTAAAGAGGAAAACAAAACTGACAAAAACTCTGCCTTCACAAAACATGTATTCTATAGTTGAGAGAGACAATAAAGTAGATAGATAAGTAAAATATATAGATTTTGTTAGGGTTAAAGAAAAACAATAGGTAGGGTGTGGGGCATGGAGTATTGTGTTGGAATCTTGCAGTGGCAGGAACTGTGGTCAGAGAAAACATCGTCAAGTAAGTGATTTTTACCTCGGGAAAGTGAGGAAGGGGGGTGGGTAGGAGGAGTCACATAACACCTAGGAGAACATTCTAGGCAGAAGAAATTGAAAGGAAAAAGACCCGGAGTGGGAGGCCCCTGAGGTGTTCTAGGAGTAGCAAGGCTACCATTTGTTAAATAAGGTCATTCCATGTTTGAGTATGTTTCCTCTGACTTTTGGAACCAGCACTAATATATGAACTGAATATGATTCTACAAAGAGCATGCCTCCATGTGTGTCATTATCCCCATAGGATTTCCTCCCTGCTACCTGTATTACTAAAACCTACCCAATATTTTAATTTCTATTTAGCCGTTGTCAAGAGAATACCACTATGGCAACAATTTTGGTTACATCGTGGCATTTAAGCCATTTGATGGAGAAGAATGGAAAAAAGTCACAGTTACTAATCCTGACACTGGCCGATATGTACATAAAGACGAAACCATGAGCCCTTCCACTGCGTTTCAAGTTAAAGTTAAGGCCTTCAACAACAAAGGAGATGGACCTTACAGCCTAGTAGCAGTCATTAATTCAGCACAAGATGGTAGGTAAAAGAAAGACCTTCTTACATGAGGAGGGAGGAAAAATGTAATTCTCTAGTAGGCATTTAGTTTGTTTCCTTTCAGGCCTTATTTACTAAGGCCTTTTTATAGCATTATACATTTAGTAAATGAGTACTATTTTGAACCAAATTAAACATCAGCCTCTTCATCTAAATGATGTGCATGCTGCTAGAGTCTTTTTCATCATTTAGATCACGCCCATGGTATTAGGAAATCCCCATTAAAATAATTGGCTTTGACTTCCATTTTGGGGCTCTTGATTATAATTTTGTAGTTCTCCATACTTGAACAGAACCTCAATATGTCTATATATTCATAAAGTTTACAACTTAAAAATTCTATAACATACACATTATTTGTAAAACGGCCCAAACTTCTAACCTAAAAATGTGTGTCATTATAGCATTTAGGTAACTTTTTGTTACAATAGAGAACACAAATTTTGTTAAAGGGAATCTAGATGTAATTGTATGACAAAGGGGTCAGTCAGTTGAAATTGTTTTCTTGAAAGGGGAAAAATTTGTCCTGTAGGGCATTTGGGGAAATAAACTATACTAATACCAGCTCTTCTTGTTTTTCTAGAAACTTTAACTTAATTAAGCATGGCCATAGAGGACTTTATGTATTTATACAAATGACATCCAGTTTTAGATTGAGCATAATTACATTATTTTCTCTGATTTCTGTTTAAGCTGCTATACGTTGTTTTTCTTGTTAAAAATAATACCTTTATTAATGTGCATTGTGTAAATAATTAACGGCTAGAAAAGCAAATAGAGATGTCACTGCCTTCTGGTCTTTGGCAATGATACATTTACCCTTGGTCAAGTTTCTCTTTGCATGTGTGAGAAGCACAGGTAGAAGAGCTTAAAAACTAAAGGTGTGTGAGGTACTCTTCTATCATTAGAGGAAATGGGCTCTATTGGTTCACCCAACTTCCATTGTTTTTACTCCAAAATAGACGTTTAGCCATGCCTTATACTCAACAGAAATTCTCGCATATGTTCATCAGTCACAGAATTATTAGTTTTAGTATTTGTTAAAAGTGTAATATATAATTAAATCATCCTATGATCTTTACTTTTATTAAATGCCATTTTATTCTATATATGTATCTCATAATACCATGTCATATACCTTAAATATACATAATAAAATTTAATATAAAAGGCAGTCATTCCTATATATAAATGTATGTGTATATATAAGTATACATGTATATATTTAAAAGTATATATATACTTTTTACTGTATTTTTTATTGCATACACAAGTATGTGTATGTTAATATATATGTGTGTGTGTATGTGTGAATTTTTTTACTTTTAGCATAACCAAATATGTCAAAATAATAAAATGTAGAAATAATTTGTTTATTATCAAACAGTGGAAAAGTCCTGATAACAAATTTATATTCTTTATGCTTGTGCTTATTCAGCAGAAATATGATAACTTGGCTGGGCGTGGTGGCTCACGCCTGTAATCCCAGCACTTTAGGAGGTCAAGGTGGGCAGATTACCTTAGATCAGGGGTTCGAGACCAGCCTGACCAACATGGAGAAACCCTCATCTCCACTAAAAATACAAAATTAGCCGAGTGTGGTGGCATATGCCTGTAATCCCAGCTACTCGGGAGGCTGAGGCAGGAGAATCACTTGAACCCGGGAGGTGGAGGTTGTGGTGAGCCGAGATTGCACCATTACACTCCAGCCTGGGCAACAAGAGTGAAACTCCATCTCAAAAACAAAACAAAACAACCAAGAAATATAATAAGTTCACTCAGTTTTAATAATTTGAAGAACATGAGTACATCTTACAGATAAAATGAGTGTCTTAAGCATTTTACAAGTTACCTTCTCACCTTTTTACTGCTTTAGTTGATGCTAAAATAAGCTTTCAGGCAAATAGCTTGTCATCTATTTAGTCACGGCCATTTGTATTTAATTATATTTCTTTCCTAAATATTTCATGAGTTATAAAACTTTCATGTGTTGAAACTTGTATAAGTGTTAATCTCTTCTTCCACTGCTGAGAAATCAATCATAGTGCTACACGTTTACCTTGTTTTGGAAAGGCAACTGTGTTCATGTGTAGAACATTTTTAAATATTAAATAGGATTATGGCTTTTTAATGAAGACAATAAAAATTGATCACCCCTGCTTAAAGGCTTCATTGGTTTCTTTGTGTAAATTTCATAAGGGATGTAAGTTACTTTTTTTCCCTGAACAGAGGCCTTTTTGATACATATTTGACTTGATGCCCAGTTGGAAGATTAGACATATAAAAGCTTTCTTGAGCCCAGGAAACAGTGGATGTTACAACTTGTTTCAAAGGCTCTTACATTTTTCAAAAAGATCTTAGCTTGAACATAAAAAGGGAAGTTTTATTAATAATATTGCTGTTTATAGTTAGTTCCCACAAATAGTAAATAAGAGAAAATGTATCATATTGAACAGTTTTCTGTAATACCAAATTTCCTATTTCCGATAATATAGAGTTGATAGCTAAATATTTATAATTTTAATTTGCAACAACAGGCTTTCTTAAGCATATCAGTTGAGAGAAATTGAAAAAATAGTATCATTTTGCTCACAGATGTAATAGAAATTGATGAGGCTTCCTGTATTTGGTAAAAGTGTGAGTATGTGTATGTGTAGATGTCTATATTCACATTTCTGTAGATGAAAGTATGTGTGCACATGTATCACTAATACCATAAAATAAAGTAACATTAGAAAAATATGGGAAGAGGTAATAAAATAATTGCACTTATTTCACTTTGAAAATATTAAAGCTATTTTGTAAACATTAAAATTAAAATATGGTATCACATCATTCATATAGCAAATGATGCTATTCGAATTTCTTAAATGTCAGTATCTCACTAATAATGTAATGTTCTCATAAAATTTCAGCTCCCAGTGAAGCCCCAACAGAAGTAGGTGTAAAAGTCTTATCATCTTCTGAGATATCTGTTCATTGGGAACATGTTTTAGAAAAAATAGTGGAAAGCTATCAGGTACGTTAAATTTTTATCAGACTAAATACATTTATTCATAAATATATGAGCATACATTTTCAAATGTGTTGTATGTTTCAATGTCCCATTAATTTATGTGGCAACTAATACTTTATTCTCTGTGTCTAGTACTGTGGTCATATATAAGTTAATCGTTAAGAATAAAACAGGGGTTCCTAACTGGCCTATCTAGGGGAGATGTAAAGAAACCTAAGTCCTGGCAAACAACTGGCCAAAATAAAAACTATGGTAATAACACTTATGATTACCCAAGGTCTTTTTGGTAAAACATTCTCATAAAAAGCTGGTGAATCTCAAGTTTTAAAGTATTTTGGTAATTTATGGAAGCATTCTGAAAATAGTCATCCTCTTTGAGTCAGTAGGTCCATTTTGAAAAGTCCCTCCAAAATAAACAATCATAAACATACCAAATATGTCTTATGTTATCTATGAGTAACAATCAAAATGACCCAAATAAAACTTCCCTCGAGCTTAATTTTAAAGAACCAGTAAGAATCAGTCAGACACAAATGAGAAAACTTGTCTTAGTCAAGGGAGTAAAAACTGGAAAATCAAAACTAGAAAGATTAGTTAGGGTCTTTAATACAATGCTAATGCAATTTAGACTGAGCTGTGTAGGAAATGTGAAATAATCAGCTCACATTTTTAAGTACAAGAAGTGAAAATTCGAAGGAATTAACATGGTTTTTCCTTTACAGATGAGCAAATGGATACCAAAGAGATTTGACAACTTGCCTCAGTTGTCACTTACAGAAAGTGTCAGAGCAGTATCTAAAACTCGAGTTGTCTGATTCAAATTTCGGTGCTTTATTGCCGCACATCACAGACTCCCCTCTGTTTTGTTTTCAGTGAGTGCTGTCTAGGGCTGCCCCTCCACCCACCCTACTCCCCCAGCCAGCTTGCATTCTCGGCTCCAGTACCCTCCCTTCTCCCTTGTCCATGGAATATTAGCTCCATGAGGGCAGGGTATTGTTCTACTCTCAGTGCCATGCAAGAACAGTGCTGGGCACCTGGCAGGCTTTAAATAGATATTCACTGAATACTGATAGGAATGATGAAGTATGATTAAATAAAGTGTTACAGTTGGGCTTTCACAAGGCCATGTTTCTGAGATGTAGCTGTAAAAGAAACTCAAGCCTTTGAGCAGACACACCCAGACCAACAGGAAGCTTTTTTTATTGGCACAATATTTGATAGTTTGGGAAGATCTTAAAGAGCCCTCTGATCATCTATCAAGGGTTCAGCTGAATTTATTACAGAACAGAGAAGAGTAGACTGGGAATAATTAGACTGAGAATACTCAACATTCATGACTTACTAACCTGACAATTATGTTTACAGCTAGCAGAAAAGGAGTAGGAAAGATAGAAATTCACTAGATGTTACAAACCCCTGTAATAAATAGTTTGGGAGAAGACATCAATGTGTAGAACTTGGAAAGTAAAATTTTGGAGCATAGGATTTCTTCTTTTATATTATTTATTTCTAACTAATAAAAATTGAAAAAAGGATAATTAAATGTATAACCCATATCATTGAGTCAAAATGTCAAATATATGACATATTTTACTTTAAAATATGCTAGAAAATTATATATTATCTTTGTCAATGCCAAGAATTATATATTGACTATTTGCTTACTTCTAACAAGAAGAGGACAAGGAAATAAGAGGTAGGAAGCAACAACATAGTGGAACCAATGATTCAGATAATAATTAAATTAAATATTTTTTGTAATTGGGAACTAAACCTTGATTAAGGATTTTCACATAGTAAAAAGTAATCTTTATCAAATAAGATTTTCTCAAATGATAATTTCAAGGGAAAAGTATGTACCATGAGGAGTTTGTTTCACAGATTTCTGATCTTTTCCAGTTTCACCTTAAGTAAAAACTTATGTGCTTTGCTGCTGAGCAAATATGGGTTTATATTTCAGCTCTGTCACTTAAGAATTTTGTAGAAAATTGATTTGAACATTGAGTTTCCTCACCTATAAAGTGAGAAAGTAACCACTGCCTCATAGAATTGTTACGTGAAAGATATTAAATAACCTGTATTTAATAATTTTCCCTGTTTATCTCATTGGGCATTCAAAGATGTGGTGGTGGTGATGATGATGATGATGATGATCACAGTGAGGAAGATGATCATGATGATGTTAATGATGAAAAGACTGATAACATTTCTTGAGTCCTTATTGTGATAAACACTTAACTAAGCTCATTTTATTAAATCCACACAAAGACACTATAATTATCCCCATTTTAGAGATGAAGAACTTGAGGGTTAGAACTGTTTTTCTGAGTAATAATTGTCATAATCAGATTTTAATCTAGTTCTTGCCTCTCCAGAGAATGGTTGATTATAATTGATGGAAGTAAATCATAGAATTATTCTTTCCATTCATTCTTTCTTAAAATCCTTTTAAACCTTTCACACAGGGTCTTGAGTATCAAAGAGACAAGCACGAACACTTAAAAGAGAAAATCCGTAGTATTTATTGTTCTGCAGGAAATGCTCCTGTAAATGTGGCCGGTGGCGGGGAGGGGGGATCTTGCCTGACTATAATGTGGTTATTGTTTCCATTTTAAAATATGATTGGAGAAGTCAATGGTTTAACAAGATAGATGAGGGTGAAAACTAATACCCCACTGCACTTCCCATGAAAAGGTACGATGGATCTATATTTTTCTGTGTATAAAGATACACAGAAAGAAAGCAGCACATTGAAAACATAAAATATAAAGCTGGAAAGCTCTGACTCCTGCCTGATTGAAACCATCTCAAGGTTCATTTCCTGACATTTCAAATGAGAATTGTGAGCAAGTGAATTTAAAGACAATCTCTTCCCTTGTGGTTTTAAAGTGTATCTCAGTAGAATGTTTATGTCACTTAGTATTTTTTTCTCTTACTTGGTTAAAGAGCTCCCCGCGTTCAATCTTAATACCCAGTGAGTTTTTCTATAGTGTAGGTAAGCTAGAAGAATACAAGAAGTCTTTCTTATCAAGTGCATTTTGGAACTTTGGGCTCCTGCCCAGGAATCCACAAAAGACTTAGTTTGCTCACCCAGCTGGTAAAATATTCACTTAATTAATTTAATGAAAATAAGTAAAATAGGCTACCAGGAATAATGAATACAAAACCTTTAGCAGCTGAATTAGAGATTAATGCAGATGACTGATTTCACAGTCATCACAAAAGATGAACAATCCTGTAGAGTCTACTCAAATGTTTTTAAAGGTTAAATTATTATGGTGAGCTGAAACTGGTATTTAGAAAGTGTATTGTTTTCTTATTTTGGAGAAGACATCCGCTTTGGTCTGGATCTCTTTGAAACAGAGCCTCAAACAAAGATGTGGAGAAAAGTTGTCTATTATTATTGTTGACTGATTGTTTTCAATATGATCCTAGGAAGCAGGTATGAGGAAAAGGCAGAGTGAACAGGAAAGCGGGGAGCTCAGATACAAAGGTGCTATTTGTTTTGTTGGCAACCACTGTGGGCAACTGGTACTCCATCCCTTGAGACCTTTGAGGACTTGTATAAATGTGTCTCTGAAGCTGCCCTGCCTGGGATGAAAAGGGAAGCATTCATCCACTCCTGAATGTTCAGAAGTGTGCTCATTCAACATGTAAACCTCACTTTTGCCAAGTGAATTTGAGCCATCCTGTTGCATTTTATAATGGTTCCTTACATGTTTATGTAAATAAAAAGTGCAGGATTATATTATTATTAGACATTTTAATCTAGGCATTTTAGTTAATTGTGAAATTACAATCCCATTATTTTATAGACTGGGCATTTAAAATATGTAAAATATCAGGATAGTTACAAATAATCCTTTTCTTTGTATTCTTATATTAGATATAACATATTTTATTCATACCTTAGATGTAATCATAAATTTTCAATGCAAAATACAGCCTTTATTTAAAGAATAAAAATTACAATCCATAACTTTTCTTAAACTTTTAAGAGAAAAGGAATCCTGTAATTATCTGACAAAAGTAATCATTTCTAATCAAAAAATTGATAACTTTGTTTAAAATTATTTTACAGGTAAATAATTTATACAGTTTATCCAGTTATTAGATGTATTTCTTTTATATCTAGCTTCTATATGAGTTCAAAGGAAATAACATTAGAGACTTACTTCTGAAAGGAGCTATAAGAAAGTATTACTTTAGCATGTTCTGGGTCAGATAATAACTATTTTTATCCAGCAAAATTATATTCCTCTCCAACTGCTTTAAGAATGGCTCAGAACAAGTTTGAAATCATGCAAACAGAAGTAAAACAGGAAATACATGATAAAAATGATAGTGACAAATACTTCCAAATGGAGACCACTTTTATATTTTGAAAATGAGTCTGCTCTCAAAAGTTTTTGGGATTTTTAAATTTTTATTGTTTTATTCTTTTTTAGTCAATGTAAAACTATTTAGGGCAATGAGGTGAGACTTTGATTTGCTTCTGGCATATTTAATCACTTCTGCCCTGTGTGCCCTACTATATTCTAAAACTGATAGAAGGGTAGATATCATTAAGAAAGATTTGAAAATATGATGATCAGTCAACACCAATGATAACAGAACTAGTTGAAGAGAACTTTTCACAACTGAAGACTCATGGCAAAGTATAACTCATCCTGTACGTTTGCAGATTCGGTACTGGGCTGCCCATGACAAAGAAGAAGCTGCAAACAGAGTTCAAGTCACCAGCCAAGAGTACTCGGCCAGACTGGAGAACCTTCTGCCAGACACCCAGTATTTTATAGAAGTTGGGGCCTGCAATAGTGCAGGGTGTGGACCTCCAAGTGACACGATTGAGACTTTCACCAAGAAAGCACGTGAGTCTCACGTTTTGTTTTTAGACTTGTCAAAAACTACCACTTGATTCAATCATGATGGAATACATTTGAAGGAAATTTCCTACCCAGATACCTGAGCACATTTTTCAATGGTATCCTTTATAGCCACACAAGATTTCCCTTAAAACGTGAGTTGTTGTAGATGATGAAAAAAATGTGAAAAATACCCTCATACATTAAATATTCCATTATAGAAATAAAGTGAGAGAACTGCCCTTTTGTAAAGGCTGTCCTCTCAAATTTTATGCCATGAACTTGTCTTCACCCTGTATTTATTAATTTAAACATTGTTTTCATAGGAGTACATCAACAGCATGTGAAAATTAAAATTCTGCTTATTTTTACATGCTTTAATTTATAAACCTCTGTCATCGCATAGTGCAATGCAAGTTAAATGTGTAGCATTATGCTTACTCTCTTATTACTGTATGTTCTAGTACTGTATGTTTTAGGTGGTTCATAATACAAGACCACCTATCCCTGCTCGCTTTCTGGTCATTCTAATCTCTGTATTCATTTTGATATCTCTGTTCTTGAACCCAAGTGGAATAAATAAAAAGAAGAATTTGTATGTAGGACTCTAGGGAATGTCTCAAGAATCTGAAGATGTGATTACCACTAGAGTTTGCAAATTTATGAAATTCACTTTGGGACAGAGACTCTCCCAGTGAGATGACAGAATGTAGTGACAAGAACTAGAATTTGGTGTCAAGACATGTGTTTGAGATCTGTCTGTGCCACTTGCTAAATGTATGACAATAGATAAATTACCTATTTAAACTTCAGTTTTCTAATTTGTAAAAGGAGCATTCATTTTTTGTTATTTTTCCATTTGTTAGTGTATTTATTCATTCATCAAAAATATGCTGTGTGCTCAGTACTATTCTTGATGGCAAGGATACAAAAGGGATCAAACCAGTCCAAGATGCTCTTCTTACATGGTTACAAGCTAATGAAAGGAGACAGAAACTTCAAACAAACAAACATTCTGACAAATAAATAAGTGGGATTATGGCAGATGACAGGGCAATAAAATGAATAAATAGACAAAATTAAAGTGACTTAGATGAAAGTGAAATTCTGATTGGGTGACCAGGAAAGGTGTCTTTGAGAAGATGCCAGTTAAGCTAGGGTTTGAGTGATAAATGATAAGAAGAACCCACTATGTGAAGAGCTATAGGCAGAGCCTTAAGGTTCTTTGCACGTTAAGTAGTACAAAACCTTAAGGTGGAGAGCGCTTGAAATATTTTAGGTGTGGAAAGGCTGCTGGGGCCAGGGCATAGGTTCTGAGTAAGGAGGGGGAAGAGTTCTGGGGCCCAATTATGGAGAACCTTGTAAGTAATTGGGATAAGTTTGAGTTCTTTCTAAACATGATAAGAAGCCATTGAAAGATTTTAAAACAGAGTGATATCTAATTTATGATGTTGTTTTATAAAAAATCATTCTGGCTTCTAGACAGAAAGTGGATTGTGATGGATTAACAGTGAAAGCAGAAAAGCCAATTAGGAGAGTATTTCAGCAGTCAAGGAGAGAATTGATAGTGGCTAGCACTAAGTGAAAATGGAGATAGAAGTGGAAAGTTTTCTGTAGGCAGAGTTGACAACTTGCTGCCAATTTGGATGTTGGCAATGAGTGAGATGAGAGACTAAATACCGAATTTCTGCTTGAGAAACTAGGGGGTTTGGTTGTACCATTTGCTGATGATGGCGAAGACTCATTGGAGAAAGATTTGAGTATACGTGACATTATATTACATTTGAAAAATGTATTACATTTGATTATACTACATTTGAGAAATCTTTTAGAGACTCAAGTAAAAATAGGCTGATATCGGCCTAGACAGAGAGACTTCCAGCCACATGTGTCTAGAGGTTGAAAGAGAGATTAGGGCTAGAGACAGAACTGTGAATATTTAAAGTCATGGGCCTAAGTGTCAGTACTTGGGGAAGATTCAGAGAGGGTAGAAAAGGGTACATAGGTGAAGTCCGAAGTCATCCAACAGTTACAAGTTGACAGAGGGAGCCAGCTAAGCATGAATAATGGGAAGCAGCAGCCCATGAGGTAGAAGGAAAACCCAGTTGTTAAGATCTGAATTTAAGAAAAAAATGAGAGATTCAAGAAAGATGGTCAATTCTGTGAAATGCTCCAAAAATGTTAAATTTAGAAAAGAATAAACAAGTGACATTAGATTTAGCCAAGTGGAGGTGATGTATGACCCTGCAAATAGCAATTTGAAAAGACTAGTGGAGAAAGAAACCCAAGCAGAGCATGATGAGAAGAGAATAAAAGTCATAGTACCTATTCACAGGGCCATGGGGTACATTAAATGGACTCATGGATGTAAAGTGCTTAGCATAGTGCCTGGCATACTGTGAACACTTGTTAAAATTAGATGGTGGTGGTGTCAGTACCATTATCATCAGCATTATAATACCTGATGCAATAGAGTATGCAGAATTGAGACTGGATATGGTGACCATTGATTGCATATTACTACTTTTCACAGCTCCTAGCCAGCCTCCAAGGATCATCAGTTCAATAAGGTCTGGTTCACGCTATATAATCACCTGGGATCATGTCGTTGCACTATCAAATGAATCTACAGTGACAGGATATAAGGTATTTACAAATAATGATGATTACTGTTTGCAATTCTTGCTCTTTCCGTGAAACCCAAGATGGGTTTCTTTTCTTTTTTTGAGATGGAAGCCCGCTCTGTCACCCAGGCTGGAGTGCAGTGGTGTAATCTTGGCTCATTGCAGCCTCCGCTTCCTGGGTTCAAGTGATTCTCCTGCCTCAGCCCCCTAAGTAGCTGGGATTACAGGTGCCCACACCCACACCCAGCTAATTTTTGTATTTTTAGTAGAGACAGGATTTTGCCATGTTGGACAGGCTGGTCTCGAACTCCGGACCCCAAATTATCCACCTACCTCAGCTTCCCAAAGTGCTGGGATTACAGGCATGAGCCACCATGGCCGGCCCCATTCAGCTTTCTTATTCTATTCAATAGTTGTAGAGCAAAATCAGATGACATGGTGCCATGGTACATTTTGAAATGGAAAAGATTATCTTCAGTGAATTTCAGCAAAATGTTATGTCAAAAGTGTAAGATAAATAGAATTATTTAAAGATAGAATACAATAATCAGAGCTTAAGGAGGAGAGAGAATGCAACTATTTTTGTTTGGCAATGATTATGATAGGGTTGCCCAGCACCCAGCAAACTCCTTGATAAACTGAGTTACTGTTTATAAATGAAAAAAAGGAGAAAAGCTTATTTTAAATATATTCTTTATATCACACACTTTCACATTTTTCACTGGATACCAAATTTTGTGGAAAATGGTAGAAATAAAAATTGAGAAGCAATTTTCAGACCATTTAAATATATTTAAAAAGTTCTCATTTGGGGCTTTTTTGTTAAAAAGGCATATTCTTTCTATATTTTTATTTTGGGTCATCTCAAAAAATAAAATTTAGATGCTTAAGTCACATCTCCTTGGATAATCCTAAAAACTTGCAAAAATCAACTATTGTGAATTGAAACTAACATGATTTTTTTCATCTAGTTTTAAATTTATTAATTATTCCCTCTTGTTTTAAATGTATTACTTTTTGTTAATCAAAGTGTAAGCATTTTTATTCTGGTTTTAGTGTTAGAGCACTGGCTCATTATTATGACTTTACTGCATATTTACATTTCTGTATTTTATAAGGTACTCTACAGACCTGATGGTCAGCACGATGGCAAACTGTATTCAACTCACAAACACTCCATAGAAGTCCCAATCCCCAGGGATGGAGAATACGTTGTGGAGGTTCGCGCGCACAGTGATGGAGGAGATGGAGTGGTGTCTCAAGTCAAAATTTCAGGTAAGTGAGTCATTTAAGACACATTTCAACTAAGTATTTGTGAGTTTCTAGACCCTATGGATTCCCAAGGGTAGGGATAAGCTGATACTCACACCAGTGTCCATATTTTCCTAAGTAGATTTGACATTATCAAGGATTCCCTGAAACTTGGTATTTCTCCTCTTAAGTAAATCTGTGACATACCACATACTTGTTGATTATTATCTTGATGTCAAAGTACAGCTGAAATCTTTCAGACATAAGACGAACAAGTTTTTGGGATCCAATTTACAGTTTGGGATGTATTAGTTTATTTGATTGTGGTAATCATTATACAATGTATACATTTATCAAATCTTCATGTTGTTCACCTTGAATATATTTAATCTTTGTCAATGAAATATTTTCAAATAAAAAGCACAATTAAAATGACATAATTTATTGAATACTATATAATACTAGGCTATTATTTAATAATAACCAAACTTCTCTTATATCAAAAGGAAATACACTAGGCTATTTTTAATACTCTTCTAACTTTCTTTCACTTGGTCTATACATATTGATATAGTAGTATAAGAGAAAAACACTAAATTATTGCTGCTTTGCCTTTTCTCTTTCTCTATCTTATCTATTCTTTTTCTACAAACGCTATTTCTCACAACTTTGTTTGATTTGGAAATACATATATTTGAGGCAGTAATTTATTTATTTGCAGCACTCTGTTATTTAATTTTTGATATATTTTTCTCAACCTATGTGCATGATATAGTTTAATTATACTGAATTTCAATAGATGTTAATTTGAGAAATGTATGAGAGGCTTTGACATACCAGAAGGTCCTAGATCAAAGATGATAATAAATAATTTGTAAGAAAATTTAGTTAATTTGCACAACAAACCCCATGACACAAGTTTACCTATATAATAAATCTGCACATATACCCCTGAACTTAAAATAAAAGTTAAATTTTAAGAAAACTAAAACAAAAATAAAAGAAAATTGAAAATTTGGTGATTTTGATCTAAATAAATGAATATGCTATATATTAAACCAACAAAAAAATCCTTTAACACAATGCCAGAGTCTTTAATGGTATTTAATAAATGCTGGCTTCAATTGTATGCCATGTTTTTGTGAAATTTGCCACAATTCATATATACATCCTTTACAAATCAAACTAGAACTTTGATTTTTTTAGTGTAATCATAATTTTGTCTTTTAAGAAAATATAGAAATTACAGACATGTGAAAGGAAAAGAAAATAATCATGTTCCAAATACCCTAAAATAGCTACTGCTAATGCATAGTTGAATTTACTTATAGTCACTCTGTATACATATATAGTTTCATGTTTCAGTTTCCATTTATTTTGTAAATTGTATTTAAAATTATAAATGATATTCTTTCAAATATGCAAACTCATTAAAGTTTTTTTCTGTTATAAATAATACTTTTACAGTCCATTTTCATAAATTAATCTTTCTTCAGGTTAAATTTAAATATAAGACAGTGTTTTAGGTTGCCAAATTTCTTTAAAAACATTTACTAATTTCTATTCCCATTATCATTGTATATAAGTGCTTTTCTCACTGCACCACTCTAATATTATTGTCTTTCTTTTTAGTCATTGCTAATTTGACAGGAGAAAAAAGAATTTTCTTATTTTTGAAACATTTTCTATATTCCAAACTTTGTTGACACCTTCAATAGTTTTACACTTAGTAGGCTGTTTCACAAAAGGAAATCAGAGGGAAATATTGCCATTATTTCAAGGAAGGTAAAGCATAAAGTAACTAAATAAATTGTTCTTGAACCCTGGGCCTTCTTTCTCTTGTGTAGAAGCCATCCACAGCGAGCTTTTGCTCTCTGTATTCACCCTTGGTTCATCATTCCTCATGGAAAGGAGAACCTAGCTTCTGGGATTTAGACTAGAGGTTTTCAGCAAGAGATGCTGTAGCAGTGATGGTAACATCAGTTTATCTATCACTAACGGCTCCAGTAAATGTTAAACAGTTGAATCACTAGGGATAGGGGAAAGCCCTGTTTATAATGTTTGCCTGTTTCTGTGGTATAAATATTCTCACTATGTGTGATTTCAAGCTTCCTAAGTGATGTCACTCAATGTGAAGAGCTACCCAGTAGCACATCATTATATGTAATTGCCACCATACAGATACAATAAGAACCTCAAAAACATTGACATTGTAATATACTAAAATATTAAGAAGTGATGAGTTTTGAGTATTTATTACATTTCTTTTAAGCTTTTAAAGTTAACTAAGTTTACATAAATCCTATTTTTAACAATTACGTTTTTAACGCATTGCTCATACGTTTCCTAAAAATTTCACAATCAGATTTCAGGGGTTGTATGGGTTGATTTCAGCATACCACAGCTGTAATTTGATATTTCAGTATAAATAGCTCATGTATAGAAGAAATAGAGTTTTTTTTTTTTAAATCCCAAACTTAACTCCATATATTTTTCATATTTTTCTGTTTTGCCAACTAATGGACAACATTCTTATTGATTTCAGAATTTCTATTATTTGTCTCTTATTTTAACCATAACTGTACAAATAAACTGTAGAATTAACATTATGAAATGTCAGATGCTTGGTGAATAACACCATTCTAGAATATTCTTGTTTTTAAGTTTTAATGAGGAAAATGTGCAAATATAAACAGAAATTACGGGTTTTCTTCTAAATTTAAAGACTCTTAGTACTTTCCTTTCTTTTGGTTTTCATGCCCCAAATACGTAGCCAGGATTATAACACACTACTAGATTTTAATGTTTGTAAGTATTATGCTGTTTGTTCATTCATTCATTCATTCAACAAATAGACATTAAATGCCTACAATACAGGAGTCACAGTTCACATCTTTAAAATGTGTTAGGATTTACATATTCCCACATCTCTCCCTGACCCTGCTGCAATTCTAATGATCCTCTTGCCTCCCAGTGTTGGCCTCCTAAGGCCTATTATCTATGCAACAGAGGGGGCCTTTTAAAACACAAATGAAATTATGTAACTCTCCTCTTAGAAAGGTGACTCATACGTAACATCTGCATTTCTTACTGTGGTTTATAGTGGTCTATATAATTCACTCTCTCTCTCATCTAAATTAAGTGCTTTATCATTTTCTCTATTGACATTTATCTTCTTGAACACACCAGTGTTATCCCTGCCTTGAGGCACCTGTACTTGTTCTTCCTTCTGACTGGAATTCTCTGCATCTTGGCATGTTAGGTTCATTCTCATCATTCTTGTTTCTGTTCAGATGTCACCTTCTCAGAAAAGCTCTCTATATGGCCAGCAATTAAGGTAGCAACCTACTCTGAGTAAATCTTCCTTATATCATAGCACTGTTTACTTTTCATCCTAATATTAGTAACCATGTAAAAATATCTTTCTTATTTGTATTTGTTTATAACATCTCTCTCCATCCTTACTTGAAGCTAAGCTCCATGGGAGCAAGCTCTTGTTTGCCTCAGTTGGCCTTTGAATCTCCAGCACTTAGGGAACTATCTGGCATGTAGCAGGGCTTTAACAAATAACTGTCGAATTAATTCATGATTTATGTATAGAGAAAAGCTCACAAACAAGAATAACTTGGGCAACTTAAAACTATAGTTTTCATCTCTAGAAATCTGATATAGTTCCCCATTAGGTGCATGATATTATGTCATGTGCTGATCCAAAAATTTGATTCTTAAAAAAATTGAAACTTCCTTTTAGACATATTTTGGAAATACTTTATATTTGATTATCTGTAACTACACCTCTCTCTGACATGAATGCTGTTATCCATTGCTTTAATAACTTATTCCTCATTGAATATTTGTAGTGCATGTCAAGGCAAACGTAACATCGCGAATGTTTCATCACACACATATTATCTCTAATAAGGTCTATATTATCCTTTAAAAACCATTTAAATAAATTATTATGTGCAAATTAAGAAACTATACATATAGCTCTAATTTTCAATATTAATTTCAATAAGCTAATTTGGATTACTACATATTTTCTATAAATTTTAGAATATCATTTGACAAGGATCCTTGGTCATAAATAAATATCTGCAGAGAAGCACATATTTAATTATCTGTAGTGAACATGCATATTTTCAGTCTTTATTTTTCTTTTTAGTTTTAAATAATAGCTGAATTGAGAAAGACTTTTCAGAACATTTTAGAGTCTGAATATTTTTCTACAGAAAGAAGTAGTCATTTGAAATTTTTAAGGTAGGAATAACATGATCAGATTTTTTCACTTGAAAAATCATATTGGTGATTGTAGAAAATATATACAGTAGGGGACTAAGATGTAAGGAGATGAAGTACAAGGTTACTGCCATAGAATGATTTAAAGATAATGATGTCCTGGGACAGGCACAGTGGCTCACACCTGTAATTCCAGCACCTTGGGAGGCTGAGGCAGGTGGATCACGAGGTCAGGAGATCGAGACCATCCTTGCTAACACAGTGAAAGACCATCTCTACTAAAAATATGAAAAAAAAATAATTAGCTGGGTGTGGTGGCAGGTGCCTGTAGTCCCAGCTACTCGAGAGGCTGAGGCAGGAGGATGGTGTGAACCCGGGAGCACAGACTGTGCCACTGCACTCCAGCCTGAGGACAGAACGAGACTTCCATCTCAAAAAAAAAAAAAAAAAAAAAAAAGATAATGATGTCCTGGACTGGAAAGAAGACAGTGGTGGATGTCTAGGATAGATTCTAAAAGAGCAAGGCATTTTTTTCCATTTGATTTAAAGTTACGATATATTCATTTTGTGTATTTTGTCTTCTAATAAATCTGTAATTTATCCTGATATTACCACCAATGATGTAATCTGGATATTTAACCTACTATTTTTGTTAACTCCAAGCTATTAAGTTAAGCTATATAACCAAACCCACTGACTTAAACACTGTGATGGAAAACACATTTTGTTGTTTTGCTTTGTTCTCTTCTGCCCAGTAGAAGAGGAAGGTCTAGAAAACTAGTTTT